CGAGCTTGTTAAGCCAAAAACTCAACTCGGCTCAGCTCGTTAACAGTCCTAACTGCATAGCTCGATAAGGATTATTGAGTTATTACTCAAAAGTTTTGATTTCGAGTCTGTCCTTTGTTGTTAATAGAAATAGTCACTAAATTTTATAGTTTTAAGGTTTAGAGAGATTAATTAAAATACGTGTAAGTTAACTTGAGTACTTGGATCATTAAAAAAAATACAATTTGTAATTCAATTTCTTTTCTTTATACAAAGATGAAAAATATATATCTTTTGTTTCATATCAAAAAAAAAAAAAAATTATATTTTTGTAATTTAAGGTAAAAACCCTAATAATGTTCATAAGTTGTAACAATATTTGATCAACATTTAGAAGTTTATATAGATGGTGGCCAAGTTTAAGCTCCTGTGAACGACTTTTAGGTGGGGTGGTTGCATAAACTTGTCCTTGGGTAATCAGTAGGTGATTGGCATATGCATTGGAGTTATATGGTCGATACATCACTTTCAGTACTGTAAATTGCTTAAGAATTAAGACAGATTACAGACACCATTTCTAGTCTTTGAGAGAACTTTTTTTTTGCAATTTGTTTGTTTGTTTGTTTGTTTTTGGTTTCATATCCTTTCATTGCCAGGAGATCTGTTGATTAAAGATGGCAATGAAAAGGGCTTAGAAATGAGTGCATGTGAGCTGTTATAGAGTTTTCCATGATATTGAAGTTAGATTAGATGTCATTCAATTAATTTATCTAACTCCCCCTAGCTCCTTTAAACCAGCGCTGGAGTACTCTTGTTTAACAGTTTTTGCAGTTTCATACTAATTATTACTAAGCTGTTTATTTATTGATTCTAAATTAAGCTCCTGCTTCTTCATTCGATCAATGCAAATGGTTGATTAATTGTACAATAACAGCACACATAGGAAGCCAGGTGGGTTTATCAGTTAGAATAAATGTCGCTACGTACGCCAGCACAAATGCGGCAATTCCCACAGGAATTTATATATTTTGTGACCACAATTACAGCTCTTTAAGACAGAAGTTCAGCTCCAGCATGTGTGATGTACTACTAACCTTATTACCCAAGCAAGAGACGTAAAAGGAAAGGAGAGGAATAAATGCTAAGAGCGGTGTCTAGGAAATCATGAAAGGAATGTAACGAAGAATTGGAAATGAATGAATTAATGAAGGTGGTCCTTGAGCTCCAATTAATTTAATCTCTCAGATCATCCAATAAGTGTTCTCGTGCAGGAGCCGGTTCGTAAGCAAAGGCCAACGAAGCATAAGTTGATGTCCATACACAATCATGTGCATGATTATATTAGGGTTTGGGTTTTTTTCCATATTGGTTGAAGATGCCATTTAAAATGTAAATGTTTTCATTTTCTTTTTCACTGAATAAAAAAAAAAACCACGATGGAAATAGCTAAATTTTCTTCTATGATGACTGTATATAAGGTTGTTTCAAATTTTGAAAACCTCACTGTTCTGCATCTGGTTGAATAGAGTTACATAGTAGGACCCTTCTGGGCTGAAACTTACAATCATGGAGTTCAAAATTTCCCATTATGACCACATTTTATGCTGAAGATTAGAACAGTGATGCAGTTGCGTACCTGAATAATAGCTATCCGGAGTCTGGACAGTGCAAAAAAAGGTAATGTCGAAACTAGCAAGTTTACCTGGATATTGATTCAGGACATATATCAGCATTGGAAAGGACATGCAATCTAAAGTCTAAACTGAGCTAATTAAATACCATTTACGAGATGTTGGCTATGGCTTGGTGAAAGGCATTGCAACTTCAGTAACTTTCTCGAGAGATAGACTCTTATTAATTACAGAGAAGTCAGAAGTGAATGAATCTTTTTAGGATTTATTAGGCTTTAGCATTATCGGCTTAGCCCTTAACCCAAAGTCCAGCTTCTTCCCTCATTTACGTGAACAACATCCAACTTCCAAGATGACTCTTACGTAAATGGTGGTGGCCAAACCTACAATTACAAGCTGGACGCATGGACCACGACCACGTAATTGGCTTGAAGTTTGAACCTACTCTTTGGACTATATTTTTTTATTTATTATAAATTTACTAATCTTTTTGGCATTTATCGAGGAAATTAAATATATTAGCACTATTTGTTCGATTCTTTTGCATGATTTTTGCTGAGTTTATAATATACAAAGTTAAGATTTCGAGAGTGCTTGATTTTCACTTTTCAGCAAAAGACATAACACATAATTTTATAAGAAAAGTGAAGTGATTTTTATAATGGGTAGGTTAATTTAATGAATACATAATTACCGTAATTTTTCAATATTGGGAAACAAGTACATAATTGATGTTTTGACCTAAAATGGTGTAGTCTGGGAGACAGGGACCATTGCTAATTAATTAATTTGCTGGCATACAACACAAATGATAATGAGTTTGGTGGCTTTACATTTTTTATTTTTTTTAAAATCATTATTGCAGTGTTTGGGTTAATTTTTACGTATCTCAACTAATCTTCTGGAGCTCTAGAACTATTGACGGGATAAGAACTCCAGTGACTACTCTTATTAGTGTTTGTAAGGACTCAAACTCAAGAGCTCATGAAACTTTCTTTTACTCTTCTACCATCAGATCACTCAATGATTTTTTTTACATGACTTTTGCTCATCAAGTATCTAATTCGGTTTTTTAATTTAATTTTAACAAGGGGACTATTACGGCATGATTGGGAAACCCTTTTGAGCCAGTGCTACAATATTTAGCTTTCAAGAGATGATAATTATTAAAAAAAAAAAAAAAAAAAAGAGTTATTAGAGTTTCTCTTATGGTCAAACAACATACCACTTATTAATTAACGAATAAATCTTGTGATATTCACTATTAAAAGTAAAACGTTTGGAGGTTGGTATATATTGTACTATAATTAAGTTAACCTGCTCTAGCATGTTTTTTTCCTTCTTTAATCTGAAAGAGGAAGAAATTATTTTTTTTATAGAATCAAGTAGTATATTATAAAACTTGTGCGCACGTCATGTGTGGGAGATAGAGAATTAAATTGAGTGGGCAGTTGGGAGCTGTAGCAAGTATAACAACAGTTATGGGGCCGTGACTAATTCCAATTGTTCCCGTGAACTTTTTGCTTGGACCAACCAGAGGGTGGTCACTGTCCACTGCGCTGGTCCGTCAACATGTTGTGAGCTTGTAAGGCTTGGAATTAACAGAGAGTCAGAGACAATCATGTTTGTTTTATTAAAGAATCAATGGCCATATCAGATGAAACTATTTTATTTAAGTAAACATGCTTTGCTTGTTGACAGCAGGAAACCTTTGTCTGGATTTGAGAGGGAAGTCAAGTGGATCGATTCAAGGGCCCATAGTCGCTTTCTGAGTTTCGTCTCAAAAGGTTTTGGGATTCTGGAAAATGATGGACGATTCATTTGTCCCTCTGTGCAATGCATTACAAAGGTCAATTTTTTTTTTTGTTGGGGTGTTTTTTTGGGCCATAATGAAAGCGTAGGACAGAATATTTTTGTTGGGCAAATGCAGGCTGTAGGCCCAATTCGTGTAAACAATAAGATAATTGGAACGTCTTTTTCACTCGGTTTTTCATTTCACGCTACTGTATGTGTGGTACACACTATTTGACAAACATCATAAAGTGAATTTGCAAAATAATGAAATTGAAGCTAAGAAAATTTTGATAATTGATTATAAGCGCATCAGAACTTTTCTAAGCTGAGAAAGAAAGCACAAGAATATCCTTGAATGCAAGATTGTAACAGACAACTTTAAGAAACTGACAATGAAAGCCTCAGCAAAGTATCTAATTTCGTCACAAATACTTGCCTTCTTCAACTTGAGAGCATCTTGTTCATACTTCCGCAGATATATTGTCGTTGGACAACTTCAAAGTAAAGATTACTCTATTTTTAGGTGTTTGTGATCACAGAAGAAAACTTGTAGGCAATGTTTGTTTGTTGAGGTGACAGAAGACACATCAATATTAGAGTAAAATTGCAGTAAATACTGCATGCTTTTGTTTCAAAATTTTCAGAACTAATGTATCCCGATGTATTTTTTTTTATTTTTTATTTTTATTATGAATAATAAAGTTACCATGGAAGGCCTTTAAAGAAAAGTATATATATGAGGATAGAAGTTGTTGGGTAACCAGATTATCAGTTTAATTGTTCCTCTTATCTCCATGCATGACGAAAAAGAAATTAAACAAAGCATTCCATCAAAGGAACTGAGCCTACTGCTCCCTATTTTTAGCTACTGATAATAATAAAGAAAAAAGGAATGAAACTAAAGGTTGCCATACATGCTTGTGCTGACCTTCTTCATATGTTTTACCGTTAATCTTTTTTTTTTTTTTTTCAGTTATGCTGAGGAATTAGAATGAGTCGTATAAGATTTGACAAGTCAGAATGGAAAGAGATATATTGTTGTCCATATTGACAAGCAATATTGATCATTAATTTATAGAATACAATAAATTCCAGGTGTTATGACTGGCCAATCAAGAATAATACTAAAAAATGGAACCAAAATATACATCAATGAATTGTTTGATATAATAGAATTTCAAACTTCAACTGGTGCTGTCTTTGGTTATTAGAACAAACTAGGTGAATTTTACTTATTTATTTATCTATTTCTTCTGAAACTACAAAAATGACTGGGTAATAGTCAATACTCCTTAAAACAAATTCCCGAAGTGATGTATGAGTATGACCAATCCCTAGTAGAATATATGAATTAAACAACACAGATATCAATACGTGAGAGAGTTTCGAAAGTGCTCTGGTTGTCAGCTTGTAAGCATTATTTAAGTGCCCTCTAGATGCTTCAGAAATAATTAAACTTTGTTTTTAATATACTGAATTTTTATTATATTTCATATATATAATTTAAAGGAAGAAAGTAGTTTCAAGGCCTCAATAGATATCCAATATCTAATTTTCTATGTATTTGCAACAATATATTATTTCTCAAACATAGATATGGAAAAACAATTCCTCAGAAGGTGGTTTGGTAAGAAGAAGAAAATGGAAACGGTGGATAGCATGGCGAAAAAATGGAGGCACCTAAGTGGCCAAAATAAGTGGGAGGGCTTGTTGGATCCTCTAAACATTGATCTTCGGAGGTATATAATTCACTATGGCGAAATGGCACAATCTACATATGACACATTCAATACAGAGAAGGCCTCTAAATTTGCTGGAGATAGTCTGTATGCAAAGAAAAATTTCTTCTCCAAGGTGGGATTAGAGAAGGGCAATCCTTACAAGTACAACGTCACCAAATTCTTGTATGCAACATCTCAGATCCAAGTTCCCGATGCATTTATCATAAAGCCGTTATCAAGGGAAGCTTGGAGCAAGGAATCAAATTGGATGGGGTACGTTGCGGTGGCTACCGACGAAGGGAGGGCAGTGCTAGGGAGGAGGGATATTGTGATTGCTTGGAGAGGAACAATACGAACCTTGGAGTGGGTTAATGATTTTGAATTTAATTTAGTCTCTGCAGATAAAATTTTAGGTAATGATGATAACGATACCAAGGTGCATCAAGGTTGGTACTCTATCTACACCTCTGATGATCCACGTTTACCCTTCAGCAAGAGCAGTGCCAGAGACCAAGTAAGTTTCGGTGCATATATATCAGTAATCTAAAATGTGAGAAAGATCAATAACATTTGAGTAATTAAGTCATTAAAAACAAAGTCACCATTTATTTATGTTAAAGAAAATTAAGCTCATATAAGTAAGCTTTTCAGTTTACTTGATCATCAAATCTATAGGTAGAGCAAATAGTTATCTTTATATAGACTCAACAATAATTAGAAGTAAATTATACTGTAAGCCGATTTCATGATTAATACTTTGTTCTAAACTGAAGTTCTAACTTTTGCTTTATCAAGAGGCAATTAATAAGGAAGCTTTTTGATTTACCTTTTTGTGTTAAACTCCCATGCTCGGTGGTCAATCAAATGGTTACTCCTAAACTGATAAAATTGGACTAATCTACGGTAAAGACTTAAAAAAATTACAGTCATCAGTCGCATACACATTTTTGCTAATATAAAAGAGGAATTTTTAGACGTCTATCTCTATGGGAATTCTATAAAATTGCTCTCATCCATTTTGTTTATCTTATTTTAGGTACTTCATGAAGTTTGCAGACTGGTGGAGCAGTTCAAGAATGAGGAAATTAGCATAACCATAACTGGCCACAGCTTAGGTGCAGCATTAGCCACACTGAACGCAGTTGACATAGTTGCCAATGGGTTTAACAGGCCTAAAGGCCAGTCAAATAAACCATGTCTTGTCACAGCCATTGTATTTGCTAGTCCTCGCGTTGGTGACTCAAGATTCAAGAAGGTGTTTTCTGGGTATCAAGATCTTCGAGCTTTACGTGTTAGTAATAATTTAGATGTAGTTCCTAAATATCCACTTATAGGCTACGCTGATGTGGGAGAAGAGTTGGCAATTGATACTACAAGATCAAAGTACTTAAAGAGTCCTGGAAATTTGTCAAGTTGGCATAATTTGGAGGGTTATCTGCACGGAGTGGCAGGAATGCAAGGGAGTAAAGGGGGGTTTAAGTTGGAGGTCAATCGTGATATTGCACTCGTTAACAAATCAATCGATAGCTTAAAAGATGAATATCTTGTACCAAGTTCATGGAGGATTCAAAAGAATAAGGGCATGGTTCAACAATCAGATGGCTCTTGGAAGTTGATGGATCATGAGGATGATGAAGACTGAAGACATAAACACTTATTAAATCTGGTTTTCTTCATCAACTAATTAATTAGATGTTTGGGAAAAAAAACTGGTTGATAAATTAACACTGGCCGTAGTAGTCAACCCGTTTGAAGTGTGATAAGATTTTTTTTTCTTTGCAGTTCATGTATTATTGCGCTTGGATAAGGACAATTTCTCATCTGTTCTGATCTATATATATAAGAACAATATCTTTTCATGGTTTGAGTTATCTTAAAAAGGTCTCAACAAGTATGCTATTTAACAATTTTATTTTCTGGAATATAGAACAGCTTCTTCAAAAATTAGCTTGCAAGTAAAGGGATAGTGAAAGAAACGTCAAAGATCAACTAATCTGTAAAGGCTTTTCACACTTATATTATCGTATATATGTTGATTATTTTATGATCAGTAAGGTATAAATATTACTTCACAAAAGAGTTTAGCACTTCTATATGTGTATGCATAGTGGCTCTCCATCATATTATATAAAGGCTTGACATTACAATCCACCTAAATGATTAGTCAATTTAATATTGTAAATGAATAGAAATACATACAAATTGATGTATAATAATAAGATTTGATGAGTGAAAACTAAAAATAATTAAACAAAAAATAAAATAGATAATTGCAAAGTTAATAAAAAACTAGTGTTACACTAATGTAATATTGTTATTAAATTTACATGTCTAACTTTGTTTATTCTAAAAATATTTATATGCTATATAATCAGAGAAACACAGCAATTACACATATAACGTGGTTTAATTCCTAAAGTTTAATAAAATATTCTTTGTAGATGGTAAAATCTATGGTTGATTCAGAAATGACATATCTTGTGAGAAGTGAGACTAACAATCAGAAAGATCAACACAAAAAGAGAGAACGAATGTAAAGGCTTGGCGGACAATCGGTGTAGTGTTTGCTGTAGTAAAGTGGTCAGAGCACAACTTCACAGAGGCTAATGGTGGTAAAGTTAGTCGAAACTAAGCTTTACAGCTGAAGAGGTCGTAGTTATTGGGAGCAAAAACTTTGAGAGCAAAAGCTTTAGGCTATTTTTAAATGAATAATGAGAGTAATGAGCCAAGGATGCTAGAGTCCTAGTGAAACTCTCAATTCTACTTGATATGAGAGTTCGAATTAGGAAGGAACTATTATTCATGTAAGATTTTAGATCTTGAATGAAATAAGAAGGTGATATGATTCTAATTCCTATTTTGGGACAAATGTAGGCAAATGGACTAGAGTCCAATTTAGCTTACTCTTGTAGAAAATCCCACCTCATGGGGCAGTCCAAGGCACAAGTTGGCCCAGTTTGTAGGGTGACCCTGATCGTAAAGAGGCTAAATTCGTAAAGTAGCCTAGCTCATGAAGAGGACTGACTAGTGGGTGGTCCAGTTCATAGAATGGGTCGGCCCATAGAATGAACTTTTTTACAAAGTGGGTCATCCTATATGGTAGTCAATCCACAAGATTGATTTAACCTTAGCCTCAATTGGAATTGGGCAAAGACACTGTATAATATTTAATATGTATTTTGTTATTGGGTTGATAAGGTCCAATACCAGTTTGACCCATACATTCTTAAACTAATGAGCAATTTTCCAATGTTACTTTTGCATTGGAATGAGGCCTTAATAAAATAAATAATTCGGAGGCCTGATATCTAATGTGAAACAAATATATGTATGGTATATCTGGATTGTCCATATTAAATTTGTGTCACTACCAAGTCAGATAATTACCCAACAACATATATAGGATTGAGGCCATACAATATTTAACCAAATTAAATAGTTAAAAAATAAAAATAAAATTACACACTAAGGCAGCAAAGCCATCGTTGAAAGACTGTGAATGCTCTCTTTCTATTATGAAAACGAATAGTTGAGCCTACTATTCACAGTGAACTAGATTCATGTTCAACTGTTTGAAGTGTATCGAAGGATTGGCCATATTAAATGTGTTGCAACCAAATAAGATAACCCAACAACGGAAGGTTGAGAGCATACTATATTAACCAATTAAAAACTTAAAAAAGACACATAATGCCAATTACCAAAGCATCTTTGACAGTCCGTGATTGGTTGCTGTAAGTATACTAGATAATGAAAAATTGGAAAGCCTACATCTAATGTAAGCTAAATTCATGTGCAATTATCTGTGCTGTATTGCAGCTTTGCCCGTATATTTTTTTATGCCACAACCAAATTAATAAGATATAACCAATACCATAGATTTGAAGGCTATAAATACCTGACCATCGTCAATAATCTGACTGCTGTACAGTATAAATACATATAACTATTTAGATAAGTAGAGCATCTATGATTCACGTTGCGAGTACTCGCAAAGTGGGGTTGGCAAGAAGTGAAGAAAGACAAAATTAAAAAGAATTGGCGAAGACGGCAGACAAGTTATGTACACGTATGTGTATAATTTCTATATGTAATAATTGCTTATTTGGCATATAATGCAAAGTGGGGTTCGGAAAAACCAAGTTAAAATTAAAAGAAGAAACCGTGAAGACATAATATACAGTTGTCAGAAAGAAGTTCACTATAACGACCGAGCTCATCGCTTGACGAGGTGCATTACGCCCAAAAATCAAAAGAGTGACATATTTTTAGGTTATTTGAACATTGTTTTTGACAGATTAAATCAAGAAATTAAGATCCTCATTACAGAGAGGTAACAAGAGCTGCATGGATAGTTTGAACTTATAAGCCAGAGAGGTCATTTTTATATATGGTTATAAACCTGAACCTTTTTGAACTTTCATAATGAAACATTCACAAATAAAGAAAATACATTATCCTTGGCAATCTGATGATAAACAAAATGACGATAAAGATGAAGAATTAATGACTATGGGGACCCCAATTATTTTATTCTCATGAATATTCCCTCTTGTTGTAACTTAGCGGGTATTAAATATCTCTTTCTTTCACGTTTCACACATTCTTAATATTACAATAACAGAAGAAGCCATCAACATTAATTATTTTCGGTTTACATCACAGTAGCCCTTAGTCCTTTCAGGCCGACGGCCAGCTAATAGTGGAGAATTTCCGCAAACCTTATCCTCAGTCCTTAAGAGTGCCAACCTGTTACGCAAGTATATATTAAAAGAGGATTTGTAAACAATGAAAACATTGAGGGTTTAAAAAAGACAAAATTTTATTATAAAATATACGCACGTATTTTATTTATAACTAAAAAAGAAATACATCTTTTGGTATATTAATAAAAGCTGCATGTGTAACAGATTGAAGAGCACAAATACTCCAAACAATGGGAAAGGAAAACAACAGAAGTCATTAAGGATGGCACAAGGTTCATGTGACATTTGTTTGGATGGCACTTGGGCGAGTGAAGGGACGAGAAATCAATCTATAAATAGTATGCAGTATTAGTCTATCCTCACAACACATAGTTGGGAAAGGAAAGTAAAAATAGAAGTGATGGGTAGTATAGCTGATAATTGGAAAGAGCTAAGCGGCTCAAACAACTGGAAAGGTCTATTAGAGCCTCTCAATGTTAATCTCCGCCGTTATGTAATTCACTATGGTGAAAGGGTTGAAGCTATTTATGACTCATTCAATTGCGAGACAAATTCTAAAGCGTACGGGTTTCCCCGTTTCCCCCCGGAAAAACTCTTCTCTGCGGTTGACCTACAAGATGGTAATCCATACAAGTATACTGTGACCAACTATTTCTATGCATATTCAGAGGTTGACATCGACAATGTAGCTGTTGCTCACCAATCAGCGTGGATTGGTTATGTGGCAGTCGTCACAGATGAAGGAAAAGATGTGTTAGGAAGAAGAGACATTTTGGTTAGCTGGAGAGGAACGAAAGGTGAAGTGGAGTGGATCAAAGATTTTCAATTTGATCTCGTCTCAGCTTCAGATATATTTACTGGGAACAACAATGCTCTGGTTCACGATGGATTTCACTCCATCTATACAAAATCAAAATCTGACTCCACATACAATAAGTCTAGTGCAAGAGAACAGGTATCTTTCTATCCAGTTGACATATTTATCTTTTATCAAGCGAAAAGTTAATGTATATTTTTGTTATTGTTATCTATTCAGGTTCTGAAAGAGGTGAAGGCCCTGGTGGACAAATACAAAGACGAAGAGATTAGTATAACTGTAACAGGCCACAGTTTGGGCGCAGCTCTTGCAACATTGAATGCGGCTGACATAGTGGCCAGTGAAAGTAATAAGCCTACAGGGTCACACACCGCATGCACGGTGACAGCCTTTGTGTTTGGGAGCCCTCATGTTGGAGACGATGGCTTCAAGACTGCATTCGATGCGCTTAGCAATCTTCATCTCTTACGAATTAGAAACGCGAAAGATATTGTTCCTTGTCTTCCACCTTTTGCCTTAGGTGATACATCCCACAACTACGTTGATGTGGGAGAAGAGTTAAAAATCGACACTACCAAATCACCATACGAGAAGACCGATATTACCGACCTTTTAACCCTATTGAGTGTTTGGCATAATTTGGAGAATTACCTCCATGGAGTTGCGGGGACGCAAGGAAGTGGGGAGTTTAAGTTGGTAGTTGATCGTGATTATAAACTGGTGAACAAAGGGTTAGATATTTTAAAGACCGAATACCATATTCCAGCCAATTGGTGGACTGGTGTGAAGAACAAGTGCATGGTTCAGCTGGATAACGGCTTCTGGAAGCCGCAGGAATATGTCCCAGATCCTCCTAGTACCTAATCATCCTAGGGTCTCTGTAATGGAAATAAGTTCCTCTGCTTATTAAGAGGGCGTTTTGCGTGGGATTTTCTTGCTGGTTAGATCGTTATGTTTCACTGCTGTGTTTGTGATTTGCTTAATTGTGACTGTTCCATTGGTGCAATCTCTGCTTCTAATCTATGGGTTATTTGCTCCTGTTGGCATTATCCATTGTGGTTTTTTTTTTTTTTTTTTTAAATGCTATGTTGTATTCCATTATTAATAAAAATTCTAGAGATAAATAATCCACTGTGGTTAATTAATTAGCCTTATAATTATATGTATTCCCATCATGCTTTCGAATTAATTCTGGTGTAGTTTCATGAGTACATGACTGGCCTGATAATGTGCAAGTATTTTAAAAATAAATTGTGTTATGAATCCTGATATTTATTTTAAAAAATATTCATTATAAGTGATAGGATCAATACTGTTAAAGAATCTTAATTTAGTTCAAATCAAAGTCCTTCATTTTCTAAACCTTGGAACATTTGATTGTTTGAAATGAATCGAAGGATTGGCCATATTAAATGTGTTGCAACCAAATAAGATAACCCAACAACGTAAGGTTGAGAGCATACTATATTAACCAATTAAAATATAGTTAAAAACTTAAAAAAGACACATAATGCCAATTACCAAAGCATCTTTGACAGTCCGTGATTGGTTGCTGTACGTATACTAGATAATGAAAAATTGGGAAGCCTACATCTAATGTAAGCTAAATTCATGTGCAATTATCTGTACTGTATTGCAGCTTTGCCCGTATATTTTTTTGTGCCACAACCAAATTAATAAGATATAACCAATACCATATATTTGAAGGCTATAAATACCTGACCATCGTCAATAATCTGACTGCTATACAGTATAAATACTTATAACTATTTAGATAAGTAGAGCATCTATGATTCACGTTGCGAGTACTCGCAAAGTGGGGTTGGCAAGAAGTGAAGAAAGACAAAATTAAAAAGAATTGGCGAAGACGGCAGACAAGTTATGTACACGTATGTGTATATTTTCTATATGTAATAATAGCTTATTTGGCATATAATGCAAAGTGGGGTTCGGAAAAACCAAGTTAAAATTAAAAGAAGAAACCGTGAAGACATAATATACAGTTGTCAGAAAGAAGTTCACTATAACGACCGAGCTCATCGCTTGACGAGGTGCATTACGCCCAAAAATCAAAAGAGTGACATATTTTTAGGTTATTTGAACATTGTTTTTGACAGATTAAATCAAGAAATTAAGATCCTCATTACAGAGAGGTAACAAGAGCTTCATGGATAGTTTGAACTTATAAGCCAGAGAGGTCATTTTTATATATGGTTATAAACCTGAACCTTTTTGAACTTTCATAATGAAACATTCACAAATAAAGAAAATACATTATCCTTGGCAATCTGATGATAAACAAAATGACGATAAAGATGAAGAATTAATGACTATGGGGACCCCAATTATTTTATTCTCATGAATATTCCCTCTTGTTGTAACTTAGCGGGTATTAAATATCTCTTTCTTTCACGTTTCACACATTCTTAATATTACAATAACAGAAGAAGCCATCAACATTAATTATTTTCGGTTTACATCACAGTAGCCCTTAGTCCTTTCAGGCCGACGGCCAGCTAATAGTGGAGAATTTCCGCAAACCTTATCCTCAGTCCTTAAGAGTGCCAACCTGTTACGCAAGTATATATTAAAAGAGGATTTGTAAACAATGAAAACATTGAGGGTTTAAAAAAGACAAAATTTTATTATAAAATATACGCACGTATTTTATTTATAACTAAAAAAGAAATACATCTTTTGGTATATTAATAAAAGCTGCATGTGTAACAGATTGAAGAGCACAAATACTCCAAACAATGGGAAAGGAAAACAACAGAAGTCATTAAGGATGGCACAAGGTTCATGTGACATTTGTTTGGATGGCACTTGGGCGTGTGAAGGGACGAGAAATCAATCTATAAATAGCATGCAGTATTAGTCTATCCTCACAACACATAGTTGGGAAAGGAAAGAAAAAATAGAAGTGATGGGTAGTATAGCTGATAATTGGAAAGAGCTAAGCGGCTCAAACAACTGGAAGGGTCTATTAGAGCCTCTCAATGTTAATCTCCGCCGTTATGTAATTCACTATGGTGAAAGGGTTGAAGCTATTTATGACTCATTCAATAGCGAGACAAATTCTAGAGCGTACGGGTTTCCCCGTTTCCCCCCGGAAAAACTCTTCTCTGAGGTTGACCTACAAGATGGTAATCCATACAAGTATACTGTGACCAACTATTTCTATGCATATTCAGAGGTTGACATCGACAATGTAGCTGTTGCTCACCAATCAGCGTGGATTGGTTATGTGGCTGTGGTCACAGATGAAGGAAAAGATGTGTTAGGAAGGAGAGACATTTTGGTTAGCTGGAGAGGAACGAAAGGTGAAGTGGAGTGGATCAAAGATTTTCAATTTGATCTGGTCTCAGCTTCAGATATATTTACTGGGAACAACAATGCTCTGGTTCACGATGGATTTCACTCCATCTATACAAAATCAAAATCTGACTCCACATACAATAAGTCTAGTGCAAGAGAACAGGTATCTTTCTATCCAGTTGACATATATATCTTTTATCAAGCGAAAAGTTAATGTATATTTTTGTTATTGTTATCTATTCAGGTTCTGAAAGAAGTGAAGGCCCTGGTGGACAAATACAACGACGAAGAGATTAGTATAACTGTAACAGGCCACAGTTTGGGCGCAGCTCTTGCAACATTGAATGCGGCTGACATAGTGGCCAGTGAAAGTAATAAGCCTACAGGGTCACACACCGCATGCACGGTGACAGCCTTTGTGTTTGGGAGCCCTCATGTTGGAGACGATGGCTTCAAGACTGCATTCGATGCGCTTAGCAATCTTCATCTCTTACGAATTAGAAACGCGAAAGATATTGTTCCTTGTCTTCCACCCTTTGCCTTAGGTGATACATCCCACAACTACGTTGATGTGGGAGAAGAGTTAAAAATCGACACTACCAAATCACCATACGAGAAGACCGATATTACCGACCTTTTAACCCTATTGAGTGTTTGGCATAATTTGGAGAATTACCTCCATGGAGTTGCGGGGACACAAGGAAGTGGGGAGTTTAAGTTGGTAGTTGATCGTGATTATAACCTGGTGAACAAAGGGTTAGATATTTTAAAGACCGAATACCATATTCCAGCCAATTGGTGGACTGGTGTGAAGAACAAGTGCATGGTTCAGCTGGATAACGGCTTCTGGAAGCCGCAGGAATATGTCCCAGATCCTCCTAGTACCTAATCATCCTAGGGTCTCTGTAATGGAAATAAGTTCCTCTGCTTATTATAATTAAGAGGGCGTTGGGCTTGGGATTTTCTTGCTGGTTAGATCGTTATGTTTCACTGCTGTGTTTGTTATTTGCTTAATTGTGACTGTTCCATTGGTGGAATCTCTGCTTCTAATCTATGGGTTATTTGCTCCTGTTGGCATTATCCATTGTGGTTTTTTTTTTTTTTTTTTTAAATGCTATGTTGTATTCCATTATTAATAAAAATTCTAGAGATAAATAATCCACTGTGGTTAATTAATTAGCCTTATAATTATATGTATTCCCATCATGCTTTCGAATTAATTCTGGTGTAGTTTCATGAGTACATGACTGGCCTGATAATGTGCAAGTATTTTAAAAATAAATTGTGTTATGAATCCTGATATTTATTTTAAAAAATATTCATTATAAGTGATAGGATCAATACTGTTAAAGAATCTTAATTTAGTTCAAATCAAAGTCCTTCATTTTCTAAACCTTGGAACATTCGTTGGAGGATTGACAATTTTTTTTTTTTTTTTTTTTTGGTAAACCTGGTCATTGCATTAAAGAAAGAATAAAGAATTACAGCCTAGAAAGGGCGCACCCCTTTAGACACGCAATCTTGGACATTCCCAAGTGACATGGCTAAGCAAAGGCTAAGAGGAGCCAAAAGAAACTTAAAGTCAAAACAGCCAAAATTTGGCCAACTTTGGCAGTAGATTTGGCAATTTCAAGTCAGACCCATGATTGATTTGGCTAGAAAATGACAGATCCGCACACAATCGGTCAGATCTAATTGGTTATGCATCATTACGGCGCCGACAACTGATGGTGGCAGCGATGATGGTAATGATGATAACTGCTGGCGGGTAACAGTGGCTTGGGTGGGTGGGGGTGTTTTTGTTAATTATAAAACTTTTATCAAAAAAAGTAATTGTTAATGTTTTGAATTTAATAGAATATGGTTGAATTTTAAAGAGAATTTTGAATATTAAAATAAATATGTATTTTACTAGGATTGAATAGGATAAAATAATGGAAAATTAATGAATCAAACTGAGGGATAAAGATTACATAACCTACTAATTACATAAAAAGGAGCCCGCAAAAGCCGAACAAAAATCAAGGCTCTAGCTTCTTGGCCCACCAAAAAGCTAACAAAAAAATCTATACATAGCAAGCCTATACCAACACCAACTAGACTATTAGAGCCCATGGTGCGCCGTGCCAGCCCATGACACAACATAAAAAAGACATTACATGACAAAGTATGGTACGACACATAGCTCACGATTATGTGGGTCGTGCTATGGGCTTAAAAAAGGTATGTGGGCCGACACGACACAAAAGAAAAAAAAATAGCCTTTAAAAATTTCATAAGAAAATGTTAGAACTTTATTACTTCAAATGTATTCAAATTATGAAGTTAAATGTGGAAACACAACAAATGAAGATGTATAATAATTCATAATCTTAATTTCTAAGTTTCTATTTGTAATTTATAATTATAACTTATAAGTAATAAAAAGTGTTAAAATTCAATTAATATAACATATAAAATATTTTTATAATAATTATTAATAATAAATCAAAATTACCATAATTTATAAACATTAAAATTAAATATTTTTACAAAGCACGCGGGTCAGCCCACAGCATGGCCCATGGCATGGCATGATATATAGCAAGTCGTGTCGTGGGCCTTCAAATTTGGTGGGCCGACACAGCACGATAAGGCATGTAGTTTTATGAGCCTTGGTATGACACAACTCACGGCACGACGAGCCTTGATTTTTTAGGCACGACGAGCCTTGATTTTTTAGGCACAACAAGGCTCACCGCCAGCTCTAGCACCAACCAATAACTATCAGCACAAATTTACGGCCAAAAAGAGGCAAAAGTTTTTATATCAATCAGTGTTGTGTCTTCTAGAACCGAATGATAAGAATTGAGAGAATTTGCGATAAACTTTAAAATTTTCAAAAATTAATTTAAAGAGTATATTTACATAATAGAATAAATGGTTTGAATTTGAATATCATAATAGATAGATGGTGTAGTTTGGAGATGGGAACACACGGGAGTGGCGACTTTTAGGTGGAAGACTGGTAGCTGATTGCGCTTGTGCCACTAATTTGTGGTGTGTGATGGTGAAGAAGAAGGCAATAGGTCAACAAGACAATGGATTGGTCTTTCGCTTGTTAATTGTTGACAGTATATCTAAAGAGTAGGGACTTCTTGCTATTAGGTGTCGCTCTAATTCTTGGATTTGTCTGTTAGTCCACCTTAGTCACGGTCCAGTTGCATATGTGCATATCTGTATTGTATTTTAGTGTACATGAATTCATATTGCACTAGATTGTGTTATACTTATTATTATGTTATATACTTGCTATTGTGTGTGATTTTTCCACCAAGCTCGGGCTACCGCGAGGATGTAGCTTGACCTAGGATCAGTCCGACTCCACCGGTTGTCCGACCTAGCATAAGCTCGTTGACATATAGCTTGACCCAGCACAACAGCAATTTCTGCGCAATCACAGCACCCAATCGCGAAAATATCAGAATTGCAGTTCAGATCAATTGTAATCCTTTTATTTTCGCTCTTTCCTTTATACAAACCTTGTATATAAACCCCCTCAAATGATGGAAAAGGGGGTACAAAATTTTCAAAGAATTCTTATTGTAAGCTCTCACAGCAAATACAAAAAGCAGTGGACGTAGGCTTAAGAGTTTACCTTGCCGAACCACTTTAAAAATCCTCATTGCCATTTACTTTATTGCATTCAATACTTGTCAATCGCTGATTATCCGTAATCATGCGCACATCCATTCCAATCCCGCCAAGGTTAATCAGAATTTTCTGGTTGGTGCAGATTTCTGTATCAACATTTTGATACTAGAAGGAGGGCTCGGCTTTACCTGGGCTAAGCGTGTCGGTACACACCAAACCTCCCAAGCCCCTTGTCTAGGGGGTTTGTGTTGATGTCAAACTCCCACATCAGCTAGGAGATGAGGACCTTGGTCGCTTATATAGCACAAGGACACCCTTACCACCCAAAGGCGCCTTTTCAGGACAAAACTATGCGGGCATACCAGTAGTCCAACCTGTGGCCCAAAGTAAACAATACCTTTGGGAACCCACCTACCGTGTGACTGGAGACAACATAACAATAGTTGGCCTTAGAAGGAGGGCTCCGCCAACATCTCAGCAATTCTTATGAACAGTTGCAACAACCTTACCAATCCAAGCCCACAATGGTGCACACTAGATCAAAGACCACCACCAAAAACCTTGAGAATGTGGAGACCATCCACTAGGAAGTACAACAGGACGTCGCTGGACATTGACCACCTGTGCCACCAACTCAGCATGTCCCGAATAACTAGGGTGCAGGGACGTCAAATCCCAAAAAAGCTAGCTAGTGGAGATGATCAAAACGATGGTTGCACAGGTAGTGCAACAAAAGATGGTTGAGTTGAGGAATCAGTAACCAACTGCCTAGAATCTCAACCAGTCGTGCTTCACCAGTGCCACCCTAACAGGTATGAATTCTGCAGGTGGCTAGTTCAGTTCATCGGTGCCAAGAGGCGGCCAACACCCTCGACATCGTAAACTGCACTCCACTTACGAGCATGAGTTCGGTGGGCAAACTAACCCCCCGAGGCAGCTAGGGAAGCCACCATTGGAGGAAAGTAACCATTGGAGGAAAGTAAAGGCAACAGTCATCCCCGAGATGCTTGGCGATATCCCCAATGTCAGCGTGCCGATATTAACCCATGCCCAAGACAAGATTGATCCCCGCTAGCTCGTGAGAAGAGCTATATGCGCCAATTTGGCAATGACCGACATTCTGGTTATAATCGATGTTGCGAGCAACGAACCGACGAGCATGATAACACCTATCAACATAGCCATCATGACTCAACTTTATGCATCAATGCACATAATAGAGGGGCTTCATAGGCAACAGACTTGCGAACTCATTTGCTCGAAGTGAGGCTAAAAAGAGCCAACCAGGGCAACCACAATGAAGACTTAGATTGCATGCAGAGAATGCTTGACAATCTGAAAGCCTACCAAAATGGCATAGCAGAGGAAATAGTAAGTTTCCCCTTTACATAGGAAGTTCACAAGGCTTCGCTTCCACAAGGATTTAGGGCGATAGAGAGTAAGTTTGACACGAGATAGGACCCTAGAGACCACCTTGATAATTTCAATGACTTGATGGAGTTGCACAAGGTCTTTGCCTTGGTGAAGTGTAGGTGCTTCGCAGTCACATTAGTCGGGGATACCAAGAGGTGGTATAAGAGGCTCAAGGCGAACTCCATCAACTTCTAGCAACAATTCTCCTCGCTGTACTTACAACAATTTCAAGCAAGTAGACAGTTCGCAATGCCACTTAACTACTTGAGCAACATTTGTCAGGAGAGAGACAAAACACTAACCTCATACTTAACGAGATTCTAGAACGAGTAGGCAAAGGTTATAGATGCATCCGAGGAGTCCATCCAAACTTTGCTGATTGCAGGAATCAGGCTGAACATGGAGCTATGGAAAGAGCTCCAAAGTGAAGATCATGTAAGCCTGACCAAGTTTTACCAAATGGCTGTGAAACACTAGTAGGTAGAAAGCTTACTGGCAGTATTGGCCAGAAGTTCTGCACCAGGGGTCCCGAACAAGCAACAAGATTGCCCATTGGATAAGAGCGAGGGCCAAGACTACAATGATAGGGACCACAAAAGGTTCCAAAAAAGACAAAGAACAAATAACCGTAGAGACAGGCAGTCATTCCTGCGGTATGTAGAATACACCCCCTCACTTAAGACATCGCCCACATCTATGAAGTCTCTCATGAGGCGAAGATACTGCCTGCTCCAAAAAGAATGAGGGGGGCTTCGGGCAGAAGAGATCGAGAAAAGTATTGCAGATACCACTGGGATGTCATGCACAACACAAACGAGTGTTGGGCTTTGAAGGATGCCATCAAAGACCTGATAAGAAGAGGCCACCTAAAGGAATTCGTTAAGATGACACCAGCTCGCAAAAATCCTGGCGAGCAAAATAACCAGATCCAGCGCTAGGACGAAAACCAAGCCCAGAACTAGGTCCAACAAGCCTCGTCAAACGCCAACAACGAAGTCTGGGTAAGCATGATCTACAGGGGGCCCAACATAGTTGGGAGCTCAAGGCTGCTCGCGAGCAATATGCCTGAGAGGCAAGGATGGACTCGGTCCCGCAGATAATGAGTTGCGAACA